ATCCCCCCCAAAGATTTATTTATTTTTATTCTATGTATATGAGTGTTTTGCCTGCATATGTGTGTACCATGTGCATGCCCACAGCATTAAGAAGATGGCATCTGATCCCCTGGAGCTTGAGTTAGAGGTGATTGTAAGCTACCGTACGTGTGCCAGAAACTGAACCCAAGCCTTCTGTAAGAGCACCAAGAACTCTTAACCATTGAGCTCTCTCTAGCCCCTTCTTTCATCTCTTCATCATGTCCTCAGATAAATCAGCTTTCTTCGAATAGATTTCTGGCCAGGTGATTGACAGGCCTAACTGCATTAACTCTAAAGAGAAAAGACAATAGTATGTACTCTTCTAATATTTGAAGTAGATCGGAATGACATGTTACTGCCCAGGGATACATGGACTCTTTTAATTTGTCCAGGAGGTTAAGGAGAGGCGATTTCAATGTTTGCCTTTCTAATATTACAGAGAAATGGGAGGTTGGGGGAAGATGTCCCATCCTCAATGTCCCTCAAAGCTGTTAATTCTTACAACATTCCCCCTCAAGAGTTGAGACCCTAAATCATTAGAAACCAGACCAGGGACCACTATCCCCAAATAGTTCTACAGCATTCCTGGCTTTCAGCCAGGACAAGGTATTTCCAGAATATTTCCAGCTTCCCTACCAAGGGCAGGAATTGGGTCCTCTCCCCTAAATTGCCTGCGCTTGTCTATGTTCTGTCAACCATTGTTTCTGATATTACTCTACCTTTTCCTTAATTAAACATTGTGCCTGTGTAGGTGTTTTCTGTCATAACTGTTCTTTATTTATAAAAGTTCATGATTTTTGTATGGATACTTTGTTTTGTGTGACAGTTTCTACCTTTCATTGGAGGAGGGGTATTGATGTTAAGTTACTGTTGCTGTGACTAGATTTAAATCTCATTGGGCTCTGTTTTCTATTACTCTCTGTGGCTTTTTGTGTTTTCCTCTGTCAGGTCTTTTTGGAGTTATTTTTTCTTATCATTTCATTTTTATTTTCTGTATTCCTTTAAGTATAAGTTGTCTTAGTTCTGGTTGCTTTTTAGACTGTAGTAAACATCTTTAGCTGTGTAATGCCATTGCTTTCTACACTTGTTTAGTGTTGTCTAAAACTTACATATGTGCGTTCTTTCAGTTGCAAATTTTTCTTGATTCCCTCTATTTCTTAGAAATTATGAGAAAATAATACCATCTTGTACACTTACCTATTCATGGTTTTCAGCTCCTTTAATTGTTTTTCATGGTTTTGGGTTTTCTTTCTTTCTTTCATTGTAATTTTTCTTTATCCTGCACTTTCCTTTAGTATTTGTTTTCTGCAGAGTCTGCTAGAAACAAGTTGATTTGTTGCAGTTGTTGTTGTTCCTCGGTACAAATTTGTGTCCTGACTTCTTTTGCAAAGGCCACTTTGCTTCTTTATGGACTCGGGGGTTAGAAGTTCTTTTCTTCCACTTCTATAAAGATGTTCCATTGTCTTCCAGCTTTGATTGTTTCTTCAGAGACATTGTGCTTCTGCCTCTATGTATGTAATGGATTGTTCTGCGCTGGCTGCTACCAGAATCAAGTAGACAAGATTTTAAAGGCAGCAAGAATTGGTGTGATTTCGTAGTTTCTATGGGGGGGTGGGAAGCTATGACTTCAGTTTTGACTTCTGGAGAGATGACTGAGCATTGAAGGAGGAAGAGTAGGTACCCAGGCCATTGGGTGTCAGCTCAGAGAGGCTCCTCCATGTGCTAACTTGACACCTGCTCAGGTCAGGGACTGGCTTCTTCTGGAGTAGGTAGGGATGGGAACCTTCAGAGGAATTGCCCGCCTGGGGATCTTTGGGAGAAGCTCAGAGAGTTGGAAAGGATTTGTACCAGAAGGGTTCTGAGAGAAGACAGTGGCCTGCCATAATTTGTCTTATATATTATTGAGACTTCATTTTGTTTTTGAAGTTTTTTATTTTACTATTTTTGGTTAGGTAGTTTGTACTAATGTATACACTCACTGGTTTATCCTTTGGCCATTGGGCTCTTTATTTTAGAGTTGGTAGTTTTCAGTTTTAGCATTTCTGTTTGATTCATTTCTGTAGTTTACATTTGTCGAGATTCCTGATGTGTTCGTTAATTTCATGAGCATATTCATAATAATTACTTTAAAGCTTACGTCCACCCCGTTTCTGTTGCTGTTGGTGTGACTTTTAGTCATGTACTAGTTATGTGAAGTAGCAATGTAATGTTGCCCACCCTCCGAGGAGTTTGGCGTTCTGTTTTAGCAGCTCCAGAATCTAGACTTCCGTTCTCCTGGCGGCAGTGGCTGTGTTCTCATTCTTTGAGCTTTTCCAAATGTTGGTTTCCTCAGCCCCCATGGTCTGTCCATATGTGTCAGGCAGGGATTCAAGCATAGACCATAGTTTGAAGACTCTTCCCCTGGGGCTCCTGTATTTACAGTTTGTGTGAGAGTTCCAGTTATCCTGAGTTCCTGAGGCTGGGGACTGCCCTCAAGTACATCTCATGCAATGCAGCTCTCATCCAGTGCACCATTTCTCAGCTGCAGGTTGACACTCTTCAGTTTGCATGCTTCTGGCCTTTCTGTTTAGCTGTAAAATGCTTTTATATTTGGTTGTCAAAGCTATGATTTGAGGAAAATTGGCCTGATTGACGCTCCTGAACTTTGCTGGAAGCAGAGTGCTCTGCATTAGTATGTTCTTGTCCATGGCCTCTGAGCTGAGGAGGATTTGTGATACAGGATTGGCCTCTCAGCATTCTTGTGGCTCTTACTTATTGTGTGTTATGCTTGGAGAATTTTATGTCTCAATTATAAGATCTATGAACTAGGGGTATGTTTCTCTTTATGTGCTTTTGTAGTTTGTTAAAGTTGTTTCTTTAATAATTACACATACTCTAGTTGCTTTGTACATGTTACAGAGTAGATCTGTTTTAGAGTGTTCTGGCTGGATGTGGTGATGTGGAACCATAATCCCAGCCCTTGGGAGGCTGAAGCAGGCTTGTGTGTTTCAAGCTAGCTGGAGCTACATATAAACAAACAAGCAAACATTTTACTAGCTAGAATTAATGTTTTTAAAGAAGCTTTCCAGGTTGAGGGAATAGAGCAGGTGAGGCAAGGCAGTGCGTGCTGGTAGTCGGGAGCTGAGGTAGACTGAGGTTCGTGTTCTTACCCATTGCTCTTTCCCCTTTGCTTTATTTCAGGCCCAGGAGAACATAGTTGAAGTGTTTTGTGCCCTAGATTCTGGTTCTCCTGTTCTCAGAGGAACCTTCGTGAAATGTTCTTCCTAATACCATGACAGAATAGCCTCCAATTATGCTGTTATTTTCCTTGTATTGTTTTCAAAGAAAGAATCAACTCTCTACTGTTCATTTCAGTTCAGAGTCACAAGAGGGAAGGTCTAAATTACTATCTCATTTCTTTTGTTTAACAGTTTGTACTGTTAAAAAGTAAGACTATCCAAAACATACCAGGGCAGCTCAGGAAAATGTCAAAGTGTGCTCTTTTTTCTGGCCCCTCCCCCTCCTCCCTGTCCCCCTGTCCCACTCTTTCTTTCTCTCTCCCCTTTCCCTCCAACTGTTCAATTCCAGTTTCTGTGTACTCTAAATCGGGTGTCCTGCAGCCGACTAGCTGTTTTAAGGGGCCCTGGGTCTCAGTCTAGACCAGTGGTTCTCAACCTGTAGGTCGTAACTCCTTAGGGGTGTCGAAAGACCCTGTCATAGGGTATGCCTCAGACCATCGGAAAACACGTAATTACATTATGATCCATAACAGTAGCAAAGTTACAGTTATGGAGTAGCAACAAAATTATTTTATGATCGGCGGGGAGAGGGGTGTCACTGCAACACAAGGAACTGTATGGAAGGGTTGCAGCATTAGGAGGGTTGAGAAGCCCTCCTCGGAGTGTCCCTAGCCTGTGCTTCCCATTGCCCGGTGCTGATCCACTTATCTCACTAATGATGAGCAAATGTGAAACTTGATCAGTTCCTTTTTAACGGTTATTAGAAATGTTCTTGTTTTCCCTCAAATTTTGTTGACTTTGGTAATATGTGTGAAGTGGAATTGAATCTCAAAAATTATATTTGACTGATTTAAAAAGTACAGCTTCATAGGCAAGAGACAAGACCATCACAATTCCATTCTGAAAGTTCCCTTTAAATTCTTCCCTTTGCCCACAGGCCAGTAGTTATTTTGAGATGAAGTAGTAGTTCATGGAAAGTAAGGTGAATTATCTTTGACTTACCTATGTTCTGGAAAGATGTGAAAAGAAATTTTAAAACGTGTTGTATTAGAATGACTTTGGTTTATCTGCTGTGCCCTTTATAAACGATGGCAAGAAAGCAATCCGAGCCTTCAGTAAAACTGAAACTATTTAAGTAGAGTTTTAGCCATGGGGAGATCTGCTTTGTTTATTTTACTTATTTTTGAGACAGGGTCTCATAGACCAGGCTGGCCTTGAATTTACTGGGTAGCCTAGGCAAGCATTGAAATCCTTTCCTCCTGCCGCTCCCCTCCATTGCTGGGATTGTAGGTGTGTTCTACCACACCCACATGATAAATGTTTATTTTCAGTGGGACTTTTCTATGTTAAAAGTACCACTTGACAACTATGTTTAATTGAAGTGGGATGTTGTTGTTGCTGTTGTTTTTTAAACTGAGTAATGAAATGAAGTTTTGTTAACGGGGTTGATGGCGTAGAAGGAACTCTTGGAGTAGAGGAAATTGGAAAGGACATTATAGGTATAATTTCATTAGGTTAGCAAGCATTGGTGTTCACATATAAAAACATAATCATAACTTATCTGGAGTCACATGTTCCATTTTATTGGCTTCCTTCATATAGAAAATATAGTGGCCAGCAGTGACTCATAATGGGTGAAACCACGTATATTTTCTGGGTGAAGGAAGTATTCTGTACATTCTCCATGCTTTGCATCATGGTACTTTGAATAACCATGCTTCCATGTTCACATCAACTTTTTGTTTTTCACTTTATGCACAGCACTTGCTCTGAGATTTGGGGACTGAGTACAGCAAACACGGTAGATCAGTGGGATACAACAGGCCTTTACAGCTTCTCTGAACAAACCAGGTGAATATTCTGCCCTCTGTGGACCCTAGAGACTTGTGGGAGGGTGTGCTTTGGAAGACCTCGTCGGGGTTGCTTAGTGTAACTTTTGCCTAGGATGTTAACTTACTGTAAATGAGGCATAGCATGTAAAATATCTGCTTGCCAGTATTAAAAAGATATTCAATGTTTCAGCTGATGTTTTGGTCAATGCAACTTTAGTTTTGAATCTTTAAATGATTGTGTCCCATAAAGAATAAGACCTTTTTATATCTATATACCCATTGTAGTCCAAGATTAGACAAATTTGTTATTGACCTAATTTTTAAGTAAATACATGACTAGTTTTTCCTAAATTTCTTGTTAATCTCATCTTTATACTGGTATTTGATGAACCGCTTATATCACAATTAACAGTAGGCTAACTTGTTTTTCTTTCATCTTTTTTTTTAAATCACTTCATTCTCTTTTAAGCACATTGGTATTTGTCCATTCCATCTCACATTCATCACATTCATCTGCATTTCTGTGTGAGCTTCATAAATAAGCCTCAGATATCAAAAGTCACACTTAAATAACAAGTCACATTAGTCCAAGTAAGTTACTGTCACATCATTGTTGATATTTATCACCATTTTCATACTACTTCCTTTTTTTGACAACCAGTTGCTTCAGAATTAATACCTTTGAGACTCTAGCTTATTAAAAATAGACACTGATGAAGTTTTCAAGTATAACCACATGACACTTTGTAGATCACTTGCCATGAGGCTAGCCTGCCATTGGCATGTGAGTTGTTATATGCACACCAATAGGAGACAGCCGCTCGTGCCGTTGCTGGCTCAGTCAGACCAAGCCAGAGGGCACTGTTCTTCCTGGATATCACTAAAGCTAAGTTGATGGCCGTGATGTCCTCCATTGTGCTCTTAGAGTATTAATTCATCCCCTTTGATGACACCTAGTCTCTCCTTTTCAAACTGCCCTCCTCTTTCCCCTTGCTTCTGAATAGGTCTCTTGATGGTCGTCTTCAGGTTTCGCATCGGAAAGGGTTGCCACATGTTATATATTGTCGGTTATGGCGCTGGCCGGACCTTCACAGTCACCATGAGCTCAAGGCTATTGAAAACTGCGAATATGCTTTTAATCTGAAAAAAGATGAAGTATGTGTAAATCCTTACCACTACCAGAGAGTTGAGACACCAGGTAGGAAAACCGTAGGTGGGTTTGGGGTTTTTGTTTTATTGTTTTTAAACTAAAAGGCTGATTGGAGGCTAGTATACCTTGTGCCTCAGGGAAATTTTAATGTAAAATTGTAATAAACTATCTTGAGTATATTATTTGGTAGGGGTTTTAAATGCTTTCTTTTTTTTAAACTTTTATGGAAAAACTATCTTGGAAAAGGGACATGTCCATTTCTTGGGAATGTACTCTGTTGGACATCCAGGTACGTATCCAGGAAATCCCACAGACTTGCTGTCTGCAGAGAGTTGTCTGTGTGTCTTTAGTACCTGCTGTCAGCATGCCTCTGACTGCTGTCAGAAGCACTTGATGACAACGTTTTAGAGAAGTAATAGAGTGAAGTTTATAGTAGGACTTTGGAGTTAGTGAGATAAAACAAATCCTATATTTTTAGAGAAATTATTAAATCTGACTTTAGTGATGACTTTTCTCTCACCATTTCTAATGGAATTCTATCAATTCTTATGGTACTATAGTATTGAGAGGGTCACATTGTTCCCCACAGTACAAAATAAACCTTAATTTGGAAATTTCAATGGTGAATTATGTAAATGAACTCCACGATGAGATTTGTCGGTTTCTTAGTGTCATAATAACAGATAGGTGTGCCAGGCCTTTGAAAAGTGAAGCTGCTGTCTTCTGCCTTGCCAACTGGGAGTAAAGCCTCCCTTTCCCACGCTTGCGCTAACTCAGCTCTCTTGAACTTGCAGTTTTACCTCCAGTGTTAGTGCCTCGGCACACGGAGATCCTGACAGAACTGCCGCCTCTGGATGACTATACCCACTCCATTCCAGAAAACACTAACTTCCCAGCAGGAATTGAGCCACAGAGTAATTATATCCCAGGTATTTTTGCCTTGAAAATCTCTTTAAACTTAGGCAAATAGCAGGCTTGTAACAGTCTTGTAACAAATGCCAAGTGTTAATGTGGTTTCAATTTTCAGAATGTTCTTGACTCTGGATGGAGAAGTCTGTTTTGTTGGGTGATGATTTTGTGCAGTGTCCATGGACCAAACACAGAAGCACCCATCTAGACAGTCCTTTTCCATGCGTCATTCGGTAATGCTCACGGTGAAGAAACACTTAGTACATATAATATTTTAGTTTTATAGACAAACAACACATGGAAACAGAAAAGCACTTGATTATGTTTCTCCTGGGCCTTAGTTAATTCTGCTGAAAAAATGAGTGAATTCAACTACATGGTCCTCAAATTCTACTGTTGAAACTGTTTGTGGAGTGTGTGGGGAACGTGTGCACATGTGTGAGAGGAGGGGGCTGCTGTGGGTTCAGGTGTCCCTTTCCACCTGTGCGTGAATGTCCGGGATTGATGAGTTGGCAGGCTTGGGTGGCGGTCACTGTGCCTCAGCCATTTCACTGGAGCTCACCTCTACTCTTGTCTCTGTTTTAGGTGGCCCAGTAATTCTGCACAATTCAGTGCCAACTCCTATAGTTTGACTGTTTTCTAGCAAAAACAGCTTATTCTTTGTTTGCAGAAACTAAGCAGGAATTATTTGTATTCTGCCTGCCTGCTTGCCTCATCCATATCCTCATCTTTTTCTGATTTTTTTTTCCTATTCCAACTTTTATTTTATACAACAGAAACATGTGGGGAATCAAAGACTTGTATTTGGTGTATTACATTATAAAAATGATGTTTGATTCAGAAAAATGTGTTTTAATAGCTCATTTAATTATTGATTTATTTCAGAGGACTAGATTGAAGGGCATCCCTGTCCTATGCCGCCCACCTCTAGCCCCCAGCTGCTAGTATGTAGAAACTTTTTGTGACATTAGTAAGGAAGAGGAGAAAAGATTATAGGACAGTGGAGTGGGGTGAGGGAAGAGAGAAATCATAAAATGAAACCTTTCCTTTTTTGGGAGTATCTCTTAGAAAATGGCTAGGAGTGGACTGGGAGTTTGTGTGTACGTGCATGTGTGAGTGAGTGCGGCATGAAGTGAGGCGTTAAAGTCTTTGATGTGGCAGCTGTTGTTACTCCATAATGCTAACAATTAAAATGTGAGTGTGTCATGGTCTTCTGAGACACACACCAGAGAATTACCTGCAACATTATTCAGAATGCTTATTCGCCTAATGTTAAGGGATTTGGGCTTTTTTCCCCCTTTATTCTTTAAATATATTTAGATATTAGTGTTTTATAGAGTAGCAAATTAGAAGTGAAATACACCAGTTGTTTTTCTGGACACTGAGGCTCTCCAGCTCCCAGTGACAGCAAAGCCCAAGAATTTACTTCTGTTCCATTTCAAAATAATTTCTTCAAAGTTTTTATTTTTATTATTTTAAATTATACATAAATATGTGTATATGTGCATGTGAGTGCAGGTGCTCACAGGAAGGGGGAGGGTGTTGGCTTCCCTGAGTTGAGTCACCTGACCTAGTGCTGGAGCTAACTTCAGGTTCTTTGCAAGAAGAATACCTGCTCTGAACTTCTGAGCCATCACTCCAGTCCCTCAAAAGAACTTTTAGCATTGTTTTAATGTTAGTAGCTTATCAATTGATAGGTAAATAATAATGGAGGATGATAAAGAAATAGAGAATGAACTTTTTTTCCATCTTAGACCTTTAAAACACTGATGTCCAGGCCGGGCGGTGGTGGCACACACCTTTAATCCCAGCACTCGGGAGGCAGAGCCAGGCGGATCTCTGTGAGTTCAAGGCCAGCCTGGGCTACCAAGTGAGTTCCAGGAAAGGCGCAAAGCTACACAGAGAAACCCTGTCTCGACAAACAAAACAAAACAAAAAACACAAAAAACACTGATGTCCAGACCGGCAGAGCTCAGCTTTTTAAATTTTCTTAGTTTTAATCTTTAAAATTAATATGAATTATTTTTATTCTTTACTGTTTGGATCTATGAAGATACTTTGTTTTTAAAATTTCAGTATAAATGTTTGATATACTGACTTCTAAATGAGAATTTGGGAGAATACAGTTTGTTTTTAAGACAAACTTACTTACTCTGTAGACCAGGTTGCCCTTGAACTTACAGAGATCCTCCTGCCTCTGCCTCCCAAGTGCTGGGATTAAACGCATCCTTCCCCTTGAATCTTTTTTATGTTGTGTGTCTGCATTGAGTTACTGTTAAAAATTGAAAATGATACACTGTTGAAAATTTTTTGAACTTTTCCCCTTAAAATCACAAATTATAAAATTGTATGCATGTTATTGTCTTTGAAATTTACTCAGTTATACAGGTGCCTCCTGAATTGTAAACATTTTATTCAGAAATTGTGTTAGAATCTTGATATGTTTAGCAGGTACTTTGTCTGGTTTTCTGCTTCAGTCATTTAGAATTGTTAAGCAGTCAGAAATCCCATCAGGGGTGGTGGGAGCTTTTTCAGGTAGTGTTCAGGATAGGTCAACACTGAGTCATGTTACTGTATCCTGCCTGGTACAGTTGAGTGTCATCTGAGATCCCAGCTGTAGGTACATCAGTCTTCTCCCAAGTATCCATCCGTGTGTGGTGTCTACTAGTTAAAAAAAAAACTAAGAATACTAATGTCTTTGAATCCTACTGAGAGGCATCTTTGAAGTTAGGTTTTTGGCTAATATGTGCACATGAACCAGATGGTAAATAATGTTTAAGAAAATATGCCTGGAAAACTGGGTTTTGTTACAGGCTTGCTTTAGGGATTTACCTTCAAGTCATGGATTAGAGCCTCAATTGCAAACCTAGTTTTGCTTTTTATAATGATGTATATGTGTACACATACATGCATACTTTCTTGATTTTTCTCGTGGCTTGTATATGGTAGCAGGGGAAAAAAAGCTGAAATCAAGTAAGCTATATTTGATTTGTTCTAAACTATTGTAGAAACACCACCACCTGGATACATCAGTGAAGATGGAGAAACAAGTGATCAGCAGTTGAACCAAAGTATGGACACAGGTAAATGTGAATGTCTCAGTAGTCAGGCATTGAGTGTGCTTTCTGTGATCTCAGCATATCACTAGATTGAACTAACCACAGATCAAGAAGTTTTAGGAATGAAACTTGATTCTGGAGCCTAATAAGATGGCTCAGTGCCTAAAGGTGTTTGCTACCATGACAACCTGAGTTTAATTCTCAGAACCCACAGAATAGGAGAGAATCAACTCCCATAGTTGTCTCTTGACCACCACACATGCCCACACAATAGCTACCCATCACAGTGTGAAAAAGCATACTACTGATTCAAGAGTAGTATGTGCTGGCACTTAGAGAAGTTGAGAAATGTACCCCAAAGCGAACCTCCCGTCTTGACAGTATCTGAGCTGTCAAGTGGGCATTGTTGACATAAAAATGAACATGCACCAGTCTGCACAGTTGATAGATGTTTTCTTACCAGATTACGTGAAAACTTGAAAGTACTCAATACCTTTTCCCCCAAATATTCTACACTACTGTTAAAGTTTTAATTACCCCATGAATAAATACCTTTCATAAAAGACCACAGTCATCCTAGTAAGTGTATTTGAGAACAGAAGGGGGGACGGCCAGCTTTTCTGTGCTTCTGTAACTTATTAGTGAGTTCTGAGTTAATAGTAAACCATTCGCCCAAAGTACCTTGTTCCTGACCTAAATTTGATTAATATCTGATAATTAACTATTGTTTTAGCATACAGTGATGAATATTACGTACCCCAAAACTTTAAACTATTTGTCAAATAATAAACTCTGTAGCCCAGGGGAACCAAGTAGGGTACCCTTGAAAATGCTTTGATGTCTTTGTCTCGTGTGATTTATTCAACCTGTCTTACCATAAGGATTAGTTAGTGTTTTAGTCACTATTCTGTTGCTCTGAAGAGACACCATGACCAAGGCAGTTCTTATGAAAGAAAACATTAAATTGGGGGCTTACTTAACCATTTTAGAGGTTTAGTCCATAGGCATCATGGCAGGAAGCCTGGCTGCATGCAGGCAGGTCCTGGAGCAGGAGCTGAGAGCTACATCCTGATTCATAGGCAGAGAGTGTCCATTGACACACCTCCTCCAGCAAGACCACATCTCCTAATCCTTCTAATCCTTTTAAGTAGTACCACTCTCTGGTGACTAAGCATTCAAATATTTGAGTCCGATGAGGGCCAGTTCTTACTCAGACCACCACAGTTAGTAATCCAAATTGGCCTGAAATTTACTGTGTGGCCCAGGCTGTCCTCTAACTCAGATCATCTTGTCATAGTCTCCGAGTGGTTGAATTACAGGCTTGAGCTACCTTCTCTAGCCTATCTAAATTATTTTTAAATGGATTAATTTTGGAGGAGAAGAGGAAAGCTTTGAATGGATTCTGTTTGACTCCTTCCATGTGTTAGATGCCCAGGAAAGATGCCTCTGCTGTAGCAGTATTTATGTCTGACTGTAGGAGTGGCAGATAGAAAGTACATGATAATCTGATGATCATTGCCTGTAGCACTTTACCTATGTTAATGCACTTGATACTTGGCTTTTCAAATATGTATTCTTCAGTGAACAGTATCTTTGCACTGTGGTAGGTAACATATAAAGTTGTTGAACATTTTATATCATACATTACAACTGGAACAGTATTTCACACTCCTAGATATCTGTATTAACATGACTGTAACAACTGTTAGTGAGGTTGTGGAAAAACTGAAGTGTTCATATATTGCTGATAAAAATGTAAGTTATTGTAACCATTTTAGGAAAGTTGGTTCTTCAAAAATTAAATACAAGATTGCTACGCAGTCTCATCGTTTCACTCCTAGATCTGTACCCATGAAAATTTTAACAGGTCCACGCAAAACTTGCAAGAATGTCTGTGTTCTAAACATTATACATTTTATTTCACAAATGGAAACAACACAGATGTATACATTTTGAATGGCTGAACAACGTGAGTTATGTCCCTACAGTAGAAGTATGGCCCTGCTGGCCCCTGTGAGATTAATATTAAGCCATTCAATTTGTGGTACTTATGAGTTACAGTTGACTAATATAAAACTAATAAGGTTTTAAGGATGAATTACTAATATTAGTAACATATTTAATAGTTTGTGAACTTTGTAGGTACTTAATATATTCTACGTTTTAATTTTTATTTTGAGCTTTGAGACAGGACCTCAGTCACACAGGACCATAATCTCACAGGATGGCCTGAAACTCACCACACTAGTCCCAAATTCGCAGGCACCATCCTGCCTCAGCCTCCCAAATTGCTAGGATTACAGAGATGTACCACCATACCAGGGCCATGTTGTATTTTCAAAGCATATATAAAATTTTGAGATGAAAGGATGGAGTTAAGTAACTAGAAAATAACCTATAATTTTTCTCTTATGAAGGTGAGAGGAGACGAGCAACTAAGAGTTGTCCTCTGACCTTCCCACATGCACCGTGGCATACATGCCACACAATGTTTTGAAGTAAAATAACAATAGTTGTGTATTATTTATAAATTACAGAATGAATAAATGCATAATTCTCTATTAAGGAGACTGTTAACTGAATATTTTATATATGTCTTTATCTGATTGAAAAAGTTCTATTAATTTATTGATTGTCATGATAGAAATTCTAGCGTCTCGTGCGTGCAGGGCAAGCCTATTACTACTCTCTGTACGCTCAGTCCATCTCCTATGTTCTGTGAGATGCCGTCTCCAGAGTGATTTTTCTAATGGTAGTGTTAATTGTGTGTGTGTCTGTCTGTCTGTCTTTCTGTCTGACTATAGCTGAAGCTAGGTGGGTTTAGTTCTGGGTTCTCGATTTGCTTCCTGTAGTCTGGGTATCAGTTTTGTTCTTTTATAATTGTGGCTCTGTAGTACAACCAACATATTCAACATGCAATATTGAGTGTGGTTCTTTGGTGCTCATTCAGATGAATTGAAACCTTAAATCCTCCACACAAAAAAGTGACCTTGGTTGCTTATAGCAACTTGATCCATAATTTAAAATTTTTTGAATAAAACCAAGATGTTGATAAATTGTGGTACGTCTGAACAATCTCAAGTCACTCAGCATGAGGAAGAAATGACAGCATATGGTTAAACTTATGACACATACACTAAATTAAAAATGATCTGTACAGGCCATATATATACTGTGCAACCCCAACCACCTGACATTCTGAAAAGGCAGACCTTCTGAAAACAGGAAAGAATTTAAGGTTATAGAGAAAGAAGAATTGAGTAGGTAAAGCCATAGGCAGTGAGGCTGATCTCTGTGATAGTAAAGATGGAGGATGTGTATTATACAGTTGTCAAAACCTACAGATAATAAGCACAAGAGTGGGCCTTGTAAACTGTGGACTTTGATAACAACATATCTAAGTATGTTTACTGAGTGTAGCGTATCTACCATTGGGGTATGGGATCATGGATAGAGTGGCAGGTATATATATTAGACCTTTTTGCACTTGATACTCAATGTTGCTGTAGCCCTAAAAATACTCTCAAAAGGAAATTGAGGTTGTTTTGTTTTGGTAATGAAGTTTTAGCATCACCTTTAAAGATACACTAAAGTAGATCCCCAAACTGAGGAAAGTGTTTACACATGCATGAGATTTCTAGGAACTGTTTTAAATTTAAAAATGTAGAAGTCAAAAAAAGGGGAAAAGATAGGAATTAATAGAAAGAAAGTGGGTGAAAATAAGAATGTACTACTTAAAAATTTAAAAAAAATGATAAAAGAATTGTTCTCTTAAGGCTGTTAATTTGGCAGATATCACCACACATTGATAGTGCAAAAAAATACAAGTTCATTAGTTCTTGGTAGGACTCAACATTTGGGTAGTGAACCTTGACACTTATAAAAACAATGCTTCCTTTCTGAGAAACTCATCCTACAAGCGTACATGAACTTGTAAGCAAAGGATACATGAGCATTCCTCTAGATGCTTTGGCTGCAGATAGGCACTTCTTGTCTTATAGCCAGACTCCAGCAGCATTTATAATGTGAGTGATTCATTGATTAATTACCAGTTGTTTAAAGCGATATTTTCTAAAAAGAAAATCTTTAGTCACTCCTGACAGAATTAAACAGCAAGCTTACTGGTTTCTTCTGATGAGTATTTTATAGCTTTGTCAATGTTAAAAAATAGGAATGATTGGGCAGCTCCTCAGTCTCCAGTTATTTATATCTGTTCCAGGAAATACCGTGGATTTCAGTTCATTGTTCCAAGCATATTTTGACCTTTCTCATTTGTACCTGTTGTGATTTGCCAACGTTCTTTTCAAATTGAAGAAAGAACATGATTGTGTAATAAATTGTTTTCTAAAAAGTAGTGCTTGCCAGTTCTCACTGTCTGATGGTGTCTGGTGACTGCAGCTTTACCTGTGTCCCATGCTGCTGTATGTGTTGTCTGTAGGGGGAATGGAGCAGAGTGCTGCTCTCTGCTCTCCCCCAGGCTCAGTCTGTGCATTGGCAGCTGGAGCTGCATGTGGAGCATGCTCCTTTTGAAACTGCCTGAGTGTGTCGGACGCTGCTCCTGGAGTTGGTGCCGACTGTGATTGAGTAAGAGGATTATCATTGACAGCAAGTAGAGTATAAAGTCTCCTCTGCGGCCCCCCTCAATTGGTGTATTTGTGCCTTGGATTTTCTGGATTAGATCTAGAATATTTACACAGAACAGAAAAAAAAATGAATATTTTTCTAAGAAAATAGAATTTAGTACAGCCAATTTCAATAAATACTAAAGTTAACTTCACAGAATAGAGATATCTCTCAGGTTTGTTAGCTGAAATTTACAGAATCTACTGAATTCTTAAGGAGTGTGCTGTGAAAATAACAACTGAAATTGTTACAGAGCTGTAGCTAGAGTTTTCCAGCCTTGCCCACAGTCAGGACAAATCTTTGTCACCCGCCAGTCCCACAGCCGCTCAGACCCAACCAAGTAAACACAGAGACTTATATTGCCATTTGTTGCTGGAGGGCTTCTCTCCAGGTTCCCCAAGCCCCGCAGTCCCACAATCCACTTATAAAATAATCACTCAGACGCTTATATCACTTATAAACTGTATGGCAGTGGCAGGCTTCTTGCTAACTGTTCTTTTATTTTAAATTAACCCATTTCTATAAATCTATACCTTGCCACGTGGCTGGTGGCTTACCAGAGTCTTCACATGCTGCTTGTCCTGGCGGTGGCTGCAGTGTCTCCCTCCTCAGCCTTCCGCTTCCCAGAATTCTCCTCTCTCCTTCCTGCCTGGCAACCTACTTCCTGCCTGGTCACTGGCCATCAGTGTTTTATTTATATAGAGCAATATCCACAGCACAGAGCATAGAAAATGACATCTACCTAACTGCCACAAGTCTGGCCACAGACCCTTAGAGCTGTCTCATGTGTTTACTAATTCTTGTGAGTCTTTCACAAGATTGGTGCGGAAGTTCTGAATAAGTGATGCATCTTTTCATCTTCAACCAAGCCAGGTGTCCTGCTTAGGGGGAAGACCCTAGACACAATACAGACAAGTGTAGCCATTCTCAGAGCTGTTTTATTAAACTGGGACATGAGCCCCAGTAAATGCTGCACTGTCAGAATTAGAAGTGAGTCACCAAACAAATGACAGATGATGACCAATGTTCCTGGGGTATCACGGACTCCTGCAGGTCAGTAAATGGGCAGTGCCGGAGGAGAGGGAGCAAAAGCAGACGTCACAAAACTGAATTAAAGTAGAAATAAACTAAGAGATATGTAAATGAAAATGTCCATTTAAGTCAGGGACTCTCAGCCTGGCATGGTGGCATACATCTTGAATCCCAGCACTTAGGAGGCAGAGGCAGGTGGATCTCTGAGTTCAAAGTCACTGGTCTACATAGTGAGTTCCAGGACAGCAAGAGCTACATATTGAGACCTTGTTTCAAAATGAAATAAAAAGACAAGGTCTCTTGTAGCCTACCTGTGCTGGTTTCCTCCTTGATCTGTAGCTGAAGCTGGCCTTAAACTGATCTTCTGCTTCCGCCTCCTGGGAGGTGGGATTACAGGCACGCACCACCATCATGGCTTAAAACTGTGCTTGTACAGACCATGTTTTCATCTGTTGTCAGTTATGCCTTGGTGGTGTTGATGGGAATGTTTGCTGGCACAACCTTTGTGCATGATAATTTAGCCAGGATCTGTCAAAATTGCAAAGACACTAACCCTTTGATTGGTACTTACTGAGTTCCTTTCAGAAAAACTGGGACTAATCAAAGGTTCCTAAGTAAACAGTCATCTGTCATTAGGGTACCATGATGTAATGTTAGGCTGCTGACCGATACAGGTAGATAGAAGAGCAATATAGAAACATCAGCACAAATGGTTTCTAGTGAGATAACTCATACAGATGTCTAGAACTGTCAACTGTTTGTCATGGAAAGGGGGTGACACAAAGCAGAAGTATATTTGCTGATATATTTTATAAAATGTTTCTGGAAAGATACACAAAAAGCTGTCAGTAGTAGGTTTCTCTGGGTGGGTGACCTTGGTGGTGAGAATACAAGTCAGTTTATGCCACTAGAAAGAAACAGAAGTTATTCAGTGCTTAACTTTTTGTACCTCATGTGTTGCAGCCCCCTGAGTTAAACTAAAATAAGTTACGTATTTTTAATCCTTGGGGCATAATTGTCTGTGTACTTATTATTGGTGAAAAAGTCAGAACTATTATATTATTACTTGATCATAAGGTCTGGAGAAATGTCAATGTCCTTTTCTTCCTCTGATTTAGGCTCCCCAGCTGAGCTGTCTCCTACCACTCTCTCGCCTGTCAATCACAGCTTGGGTAAGTTGCTGTTACTTCCTACTGTTTTCACTGGATTAAGGAAAGTCCTCTCTGGAAATTACTTATTGTATGTATCCAAAAAAAAAGGGGGGGGGCGCTTTATATCAGTGATGTAGGAAGGATTGATACAATGTGTTGGTACTCCTTTCTGTTGGCAGGAGTTTATGAGACAGTCTGAGTCATTAAAACTATGTTCTTTATGAAGTTGTACAAGGTTTTGATGGATAGTTATTTAGGATGTGTCTTACAAATTGTCATTTTTTTTTTCCTTTTGTGATCTTCCTTATGATACCTCTCAGTGAAAATTACAGAAGTTAATTGCATGTGATACTCATTTTCTGTTAGTGAGTTGTCCAGTGGTGCCATTTGCTGGGGTTTTTTGACTCTTTTCGGGGGGCACCCAAAAATTACACACAGAGGCTTATAATTAATTATGAATGCCTGGCCTTAGCTTGGCTTAGTTTCTAGCCAGCTTTCCTTAACTTATCCCATTTACCTTTTGCCTTTGGGCTTTTCTGGTTCTCTAACTTGTGTGAATCTTACTCTTACCCTGTGGCTTGCTGTGTAGCTGGGTGGCTGGCGCCTGGAGTCCTCATTTTCTTGATGCTAGCTCTCTAATCCCTCTTCCCAGATTTCTCCTTCTAGTCATTTTCTCCGCCTGCCAGCCCCGCCTAACCTTTCTCCTGCCTTGCTATTGGCCAGTTCTTTATTAGACCACCAGGTGTTTTACACAGGCACAGTAACACAGCTTCACCGAGTTAAACAAATGCAACATAAGCAAAAGTGACACACCTTAAAATATTCTGCTACAGCCATTACCTGTTTTCACTTGCACACTTGTCCTTCACTCTGCTTCCTAACGTGTAGGAGGGTAGACAGTGTCAGGGAATGTTTTGACTCTCCACTGTAAGAGCTCTTCTCATGTAGCTTTCAGCTTCACTCAGCTTTATATTTTGTCCTATTCACAATTACCTTTTTGATGCATTTGATAAGGTGGGCGGTGGTGGCGCACGCCTTTAATCCCAGCACTGGGAGGCTGAGACAAGCGGATCTCTGTGAGTTCGAGGCCAGCCTGGTGTACAGAGTGAGTTCCAGGAAAGGCGCAAAGCTACTCAGAGAAACCCTGTCTCAAAAAACCAAAAAAAAACAAATGCATCCCGTCCAAGTACAGCAGGCTGACCTGTTCTGTTTTTGTTGTCTTGTTTTGTGTTTAAACAAGAACTAGATGACTGCTAATAAAATAAGTAATCCAACATAAATTAACTTTATGAGATGGGGAAATTTTTAAAAATTGTGTATCTGGTGTCATCTATGGAAACAGTTTATATGAAACACTGGAAATCTGGTCTAATCTGTTTAAACCAGTGTAGATGCTCACAGTGACTTCTGTCTGCTGGCATGGAGTGTGCTCGTGTTGAGTTGTTCATGCAACATTTCTTCCTTTACTTCAGATTTGCAGCCAGTTACTTACTCGGAACCTGCATTTTGGTGTTCAATAGCATATTACGAACTAAACCAGAGGGTTGGAGAGACCTTCCACGCATCCCAGCCCTCGCTTACTGTAGACGGCTTTACAGATCCATCAAACTCAGAGAGGTTCTGCTTAGGGCTGCTCTCCAACGTTAACCGGAATGCTACTGTAGAAATGACAAGAAGGCATATAGGTATGTTGGATCATCTTTATGTGTGTGTTGCAGGGGCAGGGGAACTCACTTTACTCATAATGTAGACAATATGTGGTATTAGATCAAAGCTTGTTTGAAAAAGCCCAACTTTGTCTCCATCTGTGAATAGTGTCTTGGTGATTCTTAATCTGCAAACTTTGGTCTTTGATTTTTTTACTTTTAATTTGCCACTCTTGATAATGAAAAGTATTAAAATGACTAGCTTGCTCAGTCTTTTCTAGTCCAAAAAAAAGGACAATGTTCAGTTGTGATCTTTTTTCACTTTTCCTCTTCTCTCAGTGATTTTATGTATAATCAGAATACAATCTGGGGCTTCAGACTATAATGGAGGGTAAATTCCTCAGCCTCCCGAAGCCTCTTGGCGCTTGGGTGAGGGCAGCACTGCTCTCTTTCCCAGTCATACTGAGATGCGGCCCGCTGCTTCTCCACAGCAGAGAGTGGGCATCCCGGAGGCTTCATGGCCTAGGATTGTGAAGAGATGGAATGTGGACCTGAGAATCCAGACAGTAAAGAAAACTGAAATATCACCACTTGATCCTGATCTAAGTTAGAAAATGGTTATTTCTCATCAATCTTGTTTGCATTAATAGATTTGTTGTTTTAAGTTTTTAAAAGATGAACACATTTTTATCTCAGTTTTGAATCTAATGTGATAAGTTTCCATGATTATAATCCACATATACCCAAATTTTTTGGGAACCTTAGTATTTTGTTTTTAACCAGGGAGGCAAAAAGTGTAGAGCTTCAGATTCTGAGCATCGTCTGATCACTTCTTTACCTTCAGCTTCCTTTCGTCTGTTTTGGATTAACTAGCCATTTCCTCCTGTGTTACCGAAAGTTGATGTTGATTCTAGGAAATGATAACGGCCAGGGAATGTGTTGTTGGCTTCGTGTGCACTTCTCAAGTCTTGTTACATTAGGTCATCTTGCACCTCAGGTACCACTGCAGAGAAAGCAGCCCCCTGACTTTACCTACATAGTTTTAATTTTCTGTTTTGTGTTTTAACTAGACCTTTGTATTTTAAAGAAAATTAGTTATTTCCTCTGCCTTTATTCATGTCTCCTGACAAAATTTTAGTTTACTATAATTTTAGATTATCTGTGACATTTTTTTAAACTTTTGGTTGTTAGTTTATCATTTGGTTTGGTCGGGGAATCGTCTGAAAAGTCTGACTTCACTCCATTGCTCTTCCCACCCAGCCTGTGTTGGGAGTTCAATCTAGGGCCCTGTTACACAGGCATACTGCCCTCTGGGTGTGTCATCCGGCTTGAACCTTACCCGTCTTGATAGCTAAATGCATGGTTGAAGTTTCACAATGCTTGCGTCTTACGCAGTAGGAGGGTGGCAGCGGCGTTCACCCTCTCCACGCTGTTGCAGGTTGCACCACTGGTTATTCCCCCTGCTGCAGAACAGGCTGATCTGCTGCTGCCACCGCACTTCCGTCTGCGATTGCACTACAAAGTAGACGTTTGCGCAGCAAGGTGGATGTGATGTTGTTGAGTCTTTCCTTAACCTCGTGGGCTCTTTAAGGAAAAATTTCCTAGACATTAGTTAATTTATTCAAAATTACCTCAATTGTTAAACGAATTTGAAAGCCCCAGGTAATTTATACGAAACTGTCTCACTATTGTGTACTTTTTCTATACTGTTGAAATGTTTTTCATGAGCATTACTTTGAAAAAAATCAAATTATTGTTACAGGTTCTTGGGGAAAATGCTGTGGTATATTTCAGAATTACAATTCAGGAAAGCATGGCTGTAAGAAAAGGTCCTGGGATACTCTAGAATTCCTTCTAGATGGTTCTCAGGACCACTGGGAAGGCCGGTGTTCTGGAACTAACCGTGTGCGTTCTGTTGTAGGACGGGGAGTGCGTTTGTATTACATAGGAGGGGAGGTGTTTGCGGAGTGCCTGAGTGACAGTGCCATCTTTGTGCAGAGCCCCAACTGTAACCAGAGGTACGGCTGGCACCCGGCCACAGTGTGCAAGATTCCACCAGGTACGGGGCACCCTGCAAGTCGGCCTGTCACACCAGCGCGCTTCATTGACCTTTCTAAAACATAAATTCTCTTGAAAATTATTTTCTAATAATCACAGTGTTTTTATATTTTACTATTTCTCAATTCTAGGCTGTAACCTGAAGATCTTCAACAACCAAGAATTTGCTGCTCTTCTAGCTCAGTCTGTGAATCAGGGTTTTGAAGCCGTTTATCAGCTAACTCGAATGTGCACCATAAGAATGAGTTTTGTGAAGGGGTGGGGAGCAGAATACCGGTATGAATTCTGTGCTCAGTTTCTGGTTTCTTCAGTGATTAGTTGTATTCCCTTTTACATCTTCTGTAGTTCATTTCTATCTGTTTTCAACAGATGTTTATGTAAAATAATAGAAGAAAGAGGGTTAAGGAGTTGGTAGAATACTTGTGTATTGTGCATGAGGTGCTGGATTCAATCTTTAGAAACACATAAACCAGGTACTGTGACATGTCTGGGAGTTCAAGGCCATGCTAGGCTATCTGAGACCCTTAGTTAAGAAAGTTGGAGGCCTGAAGATAAGAAACTGGAAAATTGCTGTGCTGGTATTATAGAAGATATGATTAAATTGTGTGTAAACATGCATTTTTAACATAATGTAGAATGTTAAGTAACCATAAAAGGGTAATTTGAAAAGTTAGTGTCACTTTATAAATAACATCAGGGGTGTCTTTACTTGGTACTCAAAGAAAGCTTTCTGATTAGAATGGCTTGTGATCTATATTCTAGAAGATAGATATAGAATTCAGAAGATAGGAAAGGACAGTGTGAGAAACTAATTCTGATAGCAGAGTAGCAGTGTGATTAGAAATAGAATAAAAATAAAACTGGACAGTTGAGTTGAGATCTGCTGAGTAGCCCCCCTCGCCTGTGGTCTCACTGTGTGCTCTCCCAGGCAGCAGGTGTTAGTGTGCTGTGTGGCCTCACTGTGCGCTCTCCCAGGCAGCAGATGTTAGTGTGCTGTGTGG